GTTTGCCGCCAAGCTTCTGGCCTTTAGCATCCTTTGCATCTTGATCCGCAAGCTTTGGTCTTGCGGCGCGGGGCATTTTGAATCAAGAGACATGTCAAAGGGGGTGATGTTCAACATCTTCTTCAGGACAGTGAGTCAGGCGGAGCTACCGAGCCATCTGAACCTATGTTGGCACCCCTAAGACCCGGCACACAGCCTCGAAATTGACGCTTGAGATCTGAATTCTTAGTATGGCAAGACCGAGGTGCTGAACCGTCATCGCTCAGGTCTGAAGCATCCTGCATGTGGTTGTTTGTGTGCTGCTAGGATGGAGAAGAATCACCGCCGTCATAATTAATCCAAGAAGCACGCCAACAGACTTGCCCTTCGCAAGTGATGGCCAGGAAGTGACCTTGCAGCAGCCATTACAGTGGTACATGCTCGATGACAACACGTCCTGTTTCTGCTGAATGCGTGAAACATGGATCCGGAGTTATTCGGTATGTGTTTGTTTTTGTTGGGTTTTCTGTTTTTACCGTTCTTGAAGGAAAACAGTCCATGCCCGTGTTTGATTTCAAATAAAATTGTGATGCAATTCCAGGAACGAAAAAATGGCGACCCGTGAATTTGCTGAGGACGTTGGATGGAATTGCGAGGTCCTGTCATAAACAGAAGACCCACTCAAGAAAACGTTCAGGGGTCTTGGAGAGCACCGGCTCAAGCACAAACCCCACCACCTTCCCTTGGGAATTAGGGCCTACAAATCGTCCCTTATCCTCCATTTGCTCCCTGTAACAACCCAAAACCCCGGGACCTGCCGTAGATTTAAAGAACATAACAAAGTAGATGCTCTAGCAGCAGAAGCCTATTGCGAGACAGGATAACGGAGCTATGGTGTATCAACCTTCCAACTACATCCTTGGACAATACTACTGTTTGAACTAGGATATGCAGTCTGGGTTTGCCAGCGCAGTCGTACGGTAGGAGGATAGGGATTTTGGGGTTGGGAAAATTGCTATCAGCGGCCCCCTGCATCATGTGCTAAACGTTTCCGGGGGTTTGATCAATGGGCCATTCGGCCCGTACATGTCTGTCGGGACTCCGCAACCTGCTGATAACTAAGGATTTGTGGGGGGAACCTGTTTTGAGTTTGGGTTTGAGGTGGGCGGAAACAACAGATAGAAATTGAGGGTCCCTGCGATTAGCATCTTTTGGCTAGCAAGCCTAAATTCCGTCACGTACAGTGATGTGTGGCCTGATCAACTTAGGTCCCAAGCTCCGAACCTTAACCCGAAACCGCCTAGACCCTACACCGTCAAACCCAAATCGTTTCAGGGCCGGCGGGGTCGAGTTCCGTTGCCTTAAAGGCGGTGCTTGGTGCCCATTCCGTCGCCTTCATAAGCCGAACAAAAAGCTACACACGGAGTGAGGGATGCTTTCGAATCACAATGTGCTCCAAGCCCTTAACGACGCAAACTCCAAAGATGATGAATCTGGAACATCGAGTGAAGGACGTAGGTTCATGGACAAGCCCTTGCAGACAGCGGAGCCCTAATTAGAATCCCAGCCTATCTAGCCGATCAAAGGATGCCATTTTACCGACTGCCTCCTGGACGCACCCTGCGGCAGCAGTGGAACTTCTGAAAACCTGCATCCATGCAATGTGAAAGATCTAGGACTGTGTGAAGTTTGCCTGAAGCAAAAGCTTGGGTTTCGTGAAGGAGGGGTTTGATAGGTCTACCTGGCAGGACCGTCAAAAGTCCGTGCTCGATTCGGTTACAAAACCCATGGACCTTGCTACTGTTCATATGAGCCATAGTCTAAACTCCTAGTATCCCCCTTAATAGCCCCTATAGGAATCCCTTATAGAGTCCCCTTTAAGGAGTTTAGACTATAGCTCATATGGAACTCCTTCTGCACGGGTCCAAAGTGCACGGAGCAATAAATGAAGTTGCACGCTTCAGGACCACTGGCGCTGTGACAGGTAGTGGAAGAGCAACAAACGGCCCTTTCATACCTTGCTCAAAAGAATGACGATAGCTAGAGTAAGACAAGACTGGTCACACCACCACGGCAATAATCATCACATCTGTCACTCCCATAGTTGTGCTGCCAAAACATTGTGGCAGCCAGGCTGCAATGCTCTGCTGCTGCAGGGCCCCATGAAGCTGTCAGCGCCCAAGCATTGCAGCGCCAAACAAGCTCATGGCGTCACAATGCACAGTCTGCTTCTTGGAGGGTTAAGTTCAGGGTTGAGGGATCCAAGGGTTGGATAACTCAAAGCTTGGAGTAGGCAAGGGCTAAATGATCCTTTGTAACTACACATACCAATGGATCCTTGCCAGCGTTCTCACCTAATCGACACGGCGATGTGACCTGTTCTTTACCTTGCACGGTTGTTGCCGTCTTGAAAAGCACTGGATCTTGTCCACAGTGTCCTGATGGGCGCGAGTTCCAAGATGTACTTCAATCTAGGATTCCCCCTCCAACTTGGCGAAATGCACGTGCGCAAAGGCTATGGGTGTCTACACATACAACTTCAGAGCCTTGCTGCAGCATGCAGGGCTGAGGTCTTTGGGTTAGTTGGGGTTTTGGTTTGAGGGGGTTGCCCAAGAAGCGTGGCTTTCGGTTGGGCTTCTCCATGCACTTGTCAATTCCAATAGCTCCTAGTCTAAATCTTACCTCCCCGCTGCGCCACATCTCACTGCCCACCGGGCAAGCGCCGTAGACTCTCCAGTGATTTTTGTACAGGGCTTAGGCTTAGGGATATTGAGGTTATTTTGGGGTTATATTAGAATAATGGAAAATAAAATGGAAACTACTACTTAGGGTTTAGGGTTTAGGATCAGATGAGGGCATCCTACCTCAGGTATGGGCGAAATGGTGCTTGCAGGGAGCTTTAGGGCCCTAAATAGTAGTTTCCATTTTCGTTTCCGTTAGCCCAATATGTGTCCCCCATATACTACATAATATAGTAGCTTCCATTTTATCTTCCATTATCCTCATATAAACCCAATATATCCCTAAACCCACCCTAAACCCTAAACCCCAATATGTACCAGTAGTTTCCATGTTAGTTTCCATGATCCCCACCTAACCCCAACCTACTATTACAATATAACCCCGCTTTAAGGAGTTTAGATCCCCTATAAACTACCCTATAATCCCAGTTTCCATTTCATTTTCCATTTTCTTTTCCATTTGATTCTCCATTATTGGGGGATAATAAGGTATGGCTCACTTCAGCTCGTATGTTTTCTTCGCCAGCACCGCTTCTGTTCACTTCGGCCTCGGCTCCAACATTGGGGATACCCTAAGGGTCCAAGGATCCAAATAATCGGGACCCTTTAAGGGGGGTTATAGGGGGAATATCTAGGGTTTAGGGAGTTTAGGGTCCAAGGACCCGAATAATTGGGTTTTAGGGCCCAAATACCATGAATATTATAGTATTTGGGCCCTAAGAGCCTGGTAGTTGGGTCTTTGGACCCTCAGGGTTATATATCAGGGTTATATTAGGGTTATATTGGGATACTGTAAAATTCAATGCAAACTGCTATATTAGAACAGAGTATATCTTGGGGTTATATTCGGGTAATATTGGGATAAGGGAAAATACGATGGAAACTGCTATATTATGATAGGGTACATATTGGGGTTATATTAAGGCTATACAGGGGTTATATAAGGATAATGGAAAAGAACATGGAAACTGCTGCATTATCAATGGCGGCTCATGAAATAGTAGGGGACATATTGGGGTCATAGGGTATATATTGGGGTCATATAGGGTTTTAGGTGCTGAGAGGAAGCATGGCCTTACGATAGCGTAAAGACGTCAAGCGTGCCCCAAAATCAATGTCGACAAAAACAGTGGGTTTATTGTGGGCATAGTCCCTGTGTTATTAAAACAGCTGATTGCTAAAAGCTCAGAGAAACCCTTCCAGAGCTTTCGTTGAACATTCTGTCTCAATGCCTCAAGCCCTTGTAAAATCTTAACAGAAGTCTTGTATGCCAAAAGCATATACGGCATCTTCTGAAAGCATGCCTATGACTCCGGACGACACTGTTGTAAGCAGGTGCGAGGCTTGCTGAGCGCCCCTACTATATGCTCTTTACACATACCTGCCATCTCAACTGCTCGGCGCACCGTTGCGAGATCATTCAGTTTGGATTTCTTGCTGTTATTCTGAATGAAGACATTCTGATCGTATGGGCTCCCAACTCATAGCCCAGCAGGGCCATGTCGTTCTTGCTGAGGCGCTGCTTCAAGGGCCTGCGACAAGTTTGCACTGGCTCGGGGCTACCAAGCAATGCCTTCAGATTCAGACATGTAGAGGCTTATGGTGACAGAATGCCTGAACCTCACTCCCAGGCTGCAGGAACCGGCCTCACCCAGATTCTTGCTTCGACCGGGATCCCCCACAACTGTTGCAAGGTGTCGCTCACCTGCATAGGTCGGCTGCAGGTAAGCGAATGCGCTCGAACATGGCATCATGAATAGGTCGAGAGGCCATGAATCGCCTGCTGCTTCAAGTCTTGCAGTACGCTGTTGCGTACGCCCAGGATCATGCGAGCCACGACGGAGTCCTTGACCTTTCGTGCCAGATCAGCCCATCATTGTGAAGTCCCCGAGACATAACCACATGGCTTGCCAAGATAAATTTCAGTAGGCAAATTCTCAAACTCAACAATGAAACCGTACCTGGGCTACTGAGTACTGGATCATGCTCACTGAGTAGATATCATGTTTGCCACCCCTCCTGGCTGACAAGGTGACGGCAGGCACCGTAAGGCGGTTGCTATGACTTCGTGCTCTATCACCAGCGATCCGTCCAAGCGCGGGGTCCAACCTGATGAATATGCACAACACCACTCACAGTGCAAAGACAAAGAATATGAGAGGCAGCAGAGATGCTTCTACGAAAAGATAGAACGAGCAGTAGAATCAGCTGTAGCAGTACTTGCAGTAGCAGCGGGAAGAACAAAGGTAAAACTATTAAGACACAAAGATTAAGACCCATGCTCGCTTAAACCTTGCCGTACATGCTGCTAGAGTGCAGACAGTCAATACTTGTGAGAAATGACTGTTGGTATAAGTACCGCTTTCGTCCCGTTGGTGCTCGGCTGCTGCTCTTGCCTTACAACTGTCATGTGCTAGTATGTGGCAGTTGTAGCTCCAGTTCTGGAGACGACTGTAGTGTGGGCACCAGCCAAACCAGTCCATTCCTTGTTGGCCAGAGGGACCCAACCTAAGACGGACAAGATAACAAAAGGAAATAGCAAACACCAACTAGCTTGTATGCAGCTGCCTCATGTCCTGTCTCCATCGAGGTAGACTAAACCTCGCCACACGCCGTTCCCCCTCCTATGTTACAAGCCAGAGAGCCCACTGTCTGCTGCTCGATCTTGTAAGGGACGTCCGAATTGAACCTGTGTCGGGTTCTCACTTACGGGCTTGCGGCTTTTACTTTCATTACGGGATCATCGGGATCTTGGCGTGCCTTCGCACCCCAATCTCCCTTGAAGGAGACCCCCCAAAAAAAGATGTAAACCCAAACCAAAAACCAATTGAAACAACTGAAACGATATTTGGGCCGCATACTTGGAGAAGCCGCTCTAAGGCAGAATCGGTTCGGATTCGCTGTTGGCTTAGGGCATGCCTGTATATGCTATGGAGACTTCAACTGCGTGAAGAAACCCACTTTCGCCCTTGTTGCAATGACTTAAGTCTAGTGATTTCACATCGCGGACGCGGAGGTTGACATTAGTACTAAATACCCCGCCCCCCCCGCCTTTTGAAGATGTAGGTATTCACAACTTGCCTTGGTTGTTTGGGCAAAGGTGCTGGAAGATTTCTGAACGCTGGGATAAAGGCTTACCCTAGGCCCAACACGATTTCTTGGCCTTCCTTGTGAAAGCCAGTACCGCTATGAGACCCTGTTTGCAAGGGAAGTCCGAGGATTCGCAAATGGTTTAGGGCCTAAGGCCTGGGACCAAGCACACAGCCACGCAGGGTTTCAGAAAGAACCCCCAGGCCAGGCCATCTACAAAACCACCTTCAACCTCATCGTCGCAACTGCTTCCCCAAGCGCCACTGGCCAGATCACCATGGGTCAAAGACTGTCCTGGCGTTACACCCCATGAGCTCACGGGGAGCCTGACACCGGACAGAAAAATAGTAAAAACAACCTCAAGCTGGGCAGCCCAAATGCCGTAATTGCTCCGTGTGGGACATGGTGGTGATCATGTCTGCTGGATACAACCACGGCCTTGTCCAGGGCTGATCTGGAAGGGATGGAAGTCAAGTGAGGAAGCCGTGAGAGGAACCACCCAGCTAAAATGGACCTAAACACAAAAACTCAGGTCCTGTGGTTCATGGTTTCAAGGTCTGGTGGCGGGCAGTGTTGTTTTAGATTTTGCGGTTTACAGGCCTTTCAGGCTTGAAGATCTAGGAATCCAGGGCTCACGGTTTCGGCTTCTGGGGATTGAAGGACAGCATCACCTGGCTACCAATGAACCATATAGGCCCCTAAAGGCAAGTATCTGACCCTGAGCAAAACTACAGGTGTGAATGGCAATGCGACATGCTAGTCACAATTCTTGTTTAGCACTGCTACCAAAATAACTGGTGGCGCTGTCATTATGACTCTTCTTCCCTCTGCCGCAGCCAGCATGAGCGGCAGAAACCCCCGAATTATTGGCGATAACTTGAGCTACTGGTGTAGCTGCGGCAAATCATACCCCCCCTCCCACAAGTCACTAAGTTGAATACATTTTCCAGCTTCTTAACCCTTCATCGAATCCCTTCCCCAAGAATCAAACTTGGGCTGGGCTTGCCTCGGCTTCGCTCTGGTCTTCAAATGCTCCAAGAGCTTGACCTCTTTATCCAGAGGATTTATAGAATTATTGGGGTTATATTGGGATAATTAATGGGAAAGAAAATGGAAACTACTATAATATATTGGGATACTTTTATTCCGAGGAAAAAAGAAGTCTTGCTGATGCAGGGGCGGATTGAATTGGAGGTGTACCCGAGGAATTCACCAAGGGGAAGGTTGCAACCGTCTTCTGGGGTTTGGATGCTTTCTGCGATGTTTGTTAGATTCAGGTTTTTCTTCGAAAGAAGCGCGCATGCTCCAGTTAATTAGGAAAGCCTTCACCTGTTGTGGTGGTTGACATATCCCAGATGGGCAAGATTGTAATCCATCAAGAATATGACTGCGGGACTTCTGTCTACTCCGCCCAGCCACAGCTCAAAAACCCTGAAGAGTTGTTGTACATGTTTTATCGACAGCAACTGTCGTCCTCCTCTAAGACCCTTTGGTAAGAGCAGTCCTCTAGATTAGATGACAGTGCTCGGCGAGTACCCGGAAATGAGCGCAGAAATGCACTCTACCGATGAGCATCAAGCTAAAGCAGTGTCCTCGGAGCGCCAGGGATCAACGGAGCGCAAGGAGAACGATTTGCTTAGAGAAATCAACATATGATGCAATTCTGAAAGTATGAACATCACTAGAACACTCATCTTACTCCATGCAGAAAACCTTGCTGCAAGTATGCCTGTGCCCTTTCAAACTCGCTCAGCTGAGTCCAGGTCAATGCCGTTGGACTTCAATGCGGAAGTGTAGAAGATGCCATCGAAATGACCTCATAGATCAAAGATGACACATTGAACTTCACGGTTCCTTCCTGTTCAACTGCTCAGTCATCCATCCGTAATCTGCGGCTTTTGCATAACCACTCTTCCTTCTACAACAGTCCCACTGCAACTTGTTGCAGTTGAGACTGCGATCGTCCACTGTGCAAGCTGCAAGGGCATTATCCCTTTACTTTCATCCCAAGCTTGTTCGCACGGGGCAACAACATACCGAATAGGTGCAGACAAATGAGAGAAACACCAACGCCTGCATAGCTCTCCAACCCTAAACGACTGAACCTCAAGCCCTTACCTTAACAAGCCTCACCCTACAATCACTACAAGCTCTACCCCACTGTTCCTCAAACCTCCGTGATACACAAGCTGCATCATGAGGATAAGGCTGCTGTGCTTGTTTATAGCCTGCGTGTGTATAATCGAGATTGCGTACAAGCATGACAACAGCATATGTAGGGGCTTTGACAAGTTGAGCGCCCTGCCTGGGATCCTCATAACAATACTGATTGCGTGCTTTGGAGATCTCTTTTGGGCACCCGTATTCATGGAAGCCCCATATACATAGAATCAGAAATACTCCGGCTGCTGCAATCCGGCGTAAACTGTGCTAGGCCTGTGGCCGTGCGTTCGGAACTCGCGGTCCCTGGACATGACCTCATCAAAGACGGGAGCAGGACAGAGAGTCTGGCAGGAATCTACAGAATCTGAATCCCACGAACTGGTTGGAAGAATGCGCAGGAACTGTTGGTGCTTCAGATCAGGAGATCTAGATTTCGGGAGGACGCCTTCTTCATCATGCCTCGAAGAGCAGAAGAAACTCACTGGAGAACTTGGAGAGAAGTTCTGACCGCCAACAACTCGTCACAGTAGTTGGACACCCTCCTCTAGAACCTTGAACTCGAAAACCTCAGAAGGCCTAAGAGTGGCCTAAGCATCAAGCATTATCCCGGAACCCCTGAGGCCAGTGCCCAACGCATCTCCGAAGCTTTGTCGACTTTGTTGAGCACCAGTGTCACAGGGGGACGGCTCTCATCCTGATAGCGTGAGGGCAGCTACTCGGGTTGTATGTGGTTGGTAATGGAGAACTATCTATCGGCACATCATGCGGAAAAGCACTTAAAGGCTAATACATCTGAGGACGATTGTAATGAAAATGGCAAATGTAAAAACAGTCATTCAAATGCGAACACTTACATCTTTTTTGAGGACACCGGATCATGGCTGTACACTCGTGGCCCCTTTCAAGCCCTTCGATCCTTTGCATAGGTGTGGGCATTTTGGGGTTGCGCAGGGGTTCTGCACAAGCTAGGACTCTACAAGGTTGCTGTATTCAGATATGATGTCATCCGCACTCCCAAGCAAAGGTGCAACTTAGGACCATGGCAGGTAACTAGACGCAACTGTTTTGTTAACTCGGCCTCACTGAATCGGGCATCGCAAGTTATGCTAATCTGGCTGCGGTATCAGAGCTAAACTTGGGTACCTGCAAGCCCAAAGCCTTCAACTTGGACCTGAGAAATCTCCATCCCTGGGTCGGGGCAATGACACATTTTGGTTGGCTGCAGAGTGATTAAGTTTTCTCTAGACCCTCCAAAGAAAATACCAAGCATCAAATCTCGATTCAACATCCTACCGCCATCCGCAGATCCCTAACCCCCTACACGCTTACCCCGATACCCCAAGCCTGCAACTACACGGTGCGAGCTTGCCTTCTCTTGGATCAAGGAAGACCGCGCTCGCGGAATGGAGCGAGGCCTCTGCAAAGCGGGGCGCTGTGGCTACGTAGTGTGCAACACAGGTACAATCTACAATGCTCCTAGGGACGAGGTCACAACCCGATGATAAGTTGAGCCTTTTCCTACCCCTAAGGTAACTATGTGGGGGTTGTTCTCATCATTATTTGTTTCTCCTGGGCTTGTAGATCATCTATAGAGGAATACTCTGGCAATCAAGAGCGCGTTTGCTTCATTGGTCCCATTAGGGTCCCAAAGCATTGGAGCTGCATTAAACAAATTCATATGGGCGGGTGACAAACAAGGAGCCTGCTTGGCAACTACTCTTATGTAGATGGCACTCACATTCACGTAGGACACCAAGTACACGTACTCTGGTAGAAGAAGGATTTCGGGGTTCACGTACTAACTGGCTATAGCACATTTTCGCTCTACTGTCTGGCGATGTACAATACCGCCACACCCAACATGCAGGGGCATAAGTGGAATGAGGGAGAAGGATGTTGTTGCTAGGAGCGGATTCCGCGATGTGTTAGAATGGCTCGCTGGGCTGCGCACAGCAGATTGTAGGCGTCCGTCGGAATCTCGGTCTCGCCCTCGTCGTTCACCTGGAGGAGCTCACAAGGGTCTGGGGCTGAGGGTTAAGCGCCTACGCAACGAAATTGAAACTTGAAGCGTTAAAGGCCTAGTGCGTAAGGATCAAAGGTTTCAGGGAGCAGGGATTCTTGGACTCCAGGTTGAATGTTTCCCGCTTGGTTGTTCCCTCTACACCCGTCAATATGCCCCAACATCACATTGCCACTTTCCCCCAAACAAACATGGAACCACACATGGTAATCTTTTAAAGCAGAGTAATCTTTCTGGTGCCCTTCTCAGGTCCCATTCGAGTTTAGCGGACAGTACACAATAGGTCGGCGGACACGGCTGGGTTGAAAAACCGGCGGCATCCAGACTCAGGCAAAGATCTGCTTGGGCTTCCGAACCACATCTAAACAAAAATCAAACCCTAAGGGTTAAAGGACCCACATAATAGGGTTTTAGGGCCCAATAGTATTTGGGCTGTAAGACCCCTATCATCTGGGTCCTTGGACCCTCATCTCCTCCTCAAGCCCGCCCTCCGAGCTGCTAAGCTCTGAATTAGGGGTCATGACTGAACTTGTAACTCCTACCCCCGCATCCCTTGCGTCCCCAAACCCCTCAACAACTAATGGCCGAGCCTGCATCAAGGACGACATGCGTCGCCGCATTCCAGCCTCGCGAAAACTGAAAAGAGAACAACCGATTTTCCACACAATCAAACAATGGTCAAATTGAATCACTAGTTTCCATGTTCTTTAACAAACCCGAAGTCCTGCAACCCGCGTTTTGAGAAATTCTTCGAGACAGTTGCTCATGTTCTTTTCAATATAACCCCCAATTTACTATAGTAGCTTCTATTTTTCTTTTTCAATATCCCCTATATAACCCTAATAT